TCTGCAAAAGAAAAAAACACCTTAATTAAGGGGTATGAAAAAACACCTTAATTAAGGAAAAAGTCCTTAATTGTCCTTATCGTAACCTTCCTTAAATGGATTTAAGGGCTTTTGGAATCTCTGGGTAGGGCATCCATATCGGGGGTTGGAGCAGCACTGCGCCAGGGAGCCGTGGAAGGGCCCGCGCGCCTCCTGCTGGCAGCGAGGGGCGCCGGTGTACAGGCAGGTCACGCGGCCCTTCACGGTTGGCTGTCCGCGGAACAAATGACATCGGCGCAGGCTGGCATTTGTTGGCCACATGATTTTTCTGAGACACAGAAGCTTTCCCTAGGGCGCCCAGCTAGCGTGTTCACAGACGCCGTGCGGCAGTGAAGGAGGCAGCAGGATTTGCTTCCCTTGCCCTTGCGCCAGCTGGGGGATCAAGGAACGCTTTCCACCAGCTACATATGTAAATCGCCCTGAGCAGCATAAGCAAACGGAACCTGGCACAGACTCGTGCGCTGTGTGTCAACATGTTGCTTTGAATCTCGCCTGCGGGCAGATGTTATGAATTCTCCAACACTAGCGCAACAGCAAGCTTGAACTCATGTGTACCAGCAAGCTTCCCACATAGCGGCGGCAGCGGCCCCGGCAGCTCACGCAAGCCGGTGTGAAATTAAAGACTGGGGCGCAACTCATCCGAGAATCCCTGACAAGTTTGCTGCTAGCGAGCACTGAAGTTTCTGACTTATGCCAAACTGCAGTAAAACGATGTTTAGAGGAGCCTTTCTTTGTCTGAAAACCATGTCTAGAGACCAGATTTGCTGGACCAGGGACGTTCTCCTCAAGACTCGCCGCTGAAGCTGGATGGACAAAAGTGGTTAGGGACTTGCTGGCAAAAGGTTTGTCTTGTCCCTTCAGGGGGGCCAGAGTTGTTCAGGATCAAGGGCCGAGAGGTCCTGAACGGAGCCTTCAGAGTCCTTTAGCTGACGGGCTAAGGAAAAGAAGTGCAGCCGTTTAGCATGGATTTGCAACCATCAAGCCATATCTAACCTCCCAGCACGAGAGACATTACAAATGTAGCAGGGCCTTGTTGGACGGTTTGCAATTATCAGGCTACCAGGTTTGGTGATCTTGAACCGGGGATTCGGGGAAGCAAGTGCTCATGTCATGAACTGACATCATATCTTCTTCGCTCCCCGTGTCCGCAAGGAACTCAACACCGACGCGGGCACCGGGACATGCTGGTCTACTGAGATTCTCACAGTGCTCGCACGCGATGCTTTCTTCGCACTTGAACTTGCAGGTTGCGGCCACACGGGCATCGATGCAGTCAATGATTCCCTTGAGTTCTTTGGCGGCTTCAAAAGCAAACCCGGCGTCCCTTTTATCTGCCTTTGGGCAGTTGTTGTCATCGGCGTGGCAAGTAGTCCCAGGTCCGTTGGGGGTACGCTGTTTCCTGGGTTTGCATTGTTTCCTGCCCCAGCTTTTCCCAAAAAACCCATAAACCCGCCAAACACGAATGCGAACCGTATACTCTTGTAACGGCTATATTCTTGGCCAACATGGATGGTTTGTCGGTATCCGTATGCTTGGGTACCACAAACGTGGGCAGGCGTTGTTATCAGCCAGGACGCGCCAAAAAAATTGACAACAGTGGCCGCCCCGCTGCGCTGCAGCATCGGCCGCACGGGGAGGTGGACCTCCAACCCGGGCTAGCAGCCATGCCCAAACCAGAACATGAAAAAAAGGGCGGGTTCAGAAGGTGACGGGAGCCATGCCACAGCAGGAGGCCGTCCGCGGCAACCTCGATCCATCGTCTGTCCGCGCGTGGCACATTTGCCTTGGTTTCCCGGAGAAACCCCGCGTCTGAATGACAAACATTTTGTTCGTAACAAGTGTTCATCCTGTCGGAACTGCTGGCCCGTCCGGAATTTTCTTGATTTGCGGTGTTTCCTGGAACTTGAACCCTTTTGACTCCTTCTTGATCTTGAAAATAGACCTTCCTACCCAGGGGTTTCTGGGACCTTTGGGATCCTGATTCTCCAGTTCCACGCGACGGTTGCCCTCAGGCCCTCAGAGGCTGAACTGGCAAAACCCTCTCAACTTTGACCAGCCCTTTGAGTCTTGAGAGCTCAACCGGACATGATTCGTCAGGAACGAACCACCGCTTGCGGTACGTTGCGCGATGGCGAATTGCAAGTCCCTTCCTAAAATCCACCTCCCAGTAATCCCCTTCTTCGGCATACGGCCTTGACCCCTCAATAGCAGCAGCTGCGAGAAGACAACATGCCGCCTGCCTCGTTTCTCTGCTCTTAGAGTTAGAGCGTCCCCTACTGCCCTTTCGCTTTGGCGGAGCAGGTGAAGGAGAGCGAGGCTTTTCGGGTTTCTCGGATGGGGCTGGAGCAGCTGTTTCAGGAGGGTTGTTGCTCGGTTCACGATGGAGAAAACGACACTTGTCTCCACGGGTGCACTTACCCTTTTCCCAAACGTACAAACTGCGTTTATCTTCTTTCCCGCTTTGTTGGGCTTGTCTGGTTTGTCTAGTAGGAGACCTTGCCTTGTGGAGATACTTGCACTTGTCCCCCCTAGTACACTTTCCCTTCTGGAAGTCGTAGCAAATTGCCTCGGGGCTCTTGGGGCTACTTGACCTAGACGAATTCCTGGACCTGTTGGAGCTTGTCCCTGGAGCTGGATCTACCTCGCCCTCCCCGCGACAGGGGGGCGTGTGGAATCAGGCTTAGCTGGAGCAGGGGCGCCATACTTCTCACCATGTGACTTGGCGATGCGATCCCTGTTCTTCCGCATCCTTTCCCTTGTGAGGAGGTCCTTGATGCTCTGTACCAGGAACTGAGAAGTGTGCTCCTTAGTTTCCTCTTTGGCCCGATCGTGAATCTCTAGATCGTACTTCATCCTAACGCTTTTGCGAATCTGACGTAGCAGAATGTCTTTCAACGTCACTTCATCAGGAATGTGGACATACCTGCGATCACAGACTCCCAATTGTGAATGAAAGTGGAAAGATCATCCCCAAGCAAGTGGGCTTTTAGAAGGTCTTCGACAGAGTAGAGCGAGGCGACTTCCTCGTTCGTCTTAAAATATTGCTCGAAAAGGTACAGAATTTGTCAACCCCTAACTGCCCTGCGGAAACCCGCTTCAACTTCCTTGAAGTTCAGGATCTGCCTTGCAAGCTCACCCTTAGCAACCTTTGTACGCGCTGCAAGCAGTTTGGTGTCTAGGGTGAGGAATTTCTTAGGATCGCAGTACCTCACGCGAAGCTGCTTTGTCATAGACCTCCAAAATCCATTGGAATGCTTCATCAGGCTTGTCCGAGGCTGCCTGATTGATTCTCGGGCTGCAGTTTTGCAACTTCGATAGGTTTCTGGGTTTGGAAAGTCGGGGAGTTTGATTGACTCTGCTTCTTTGGCCTTAGGAGGCTTCTCTTCCTGTGTGCTTTCTCCCTTAAGGAGACCAGCTGCTTCTAACAGGGCCTTTTGGGTCTGGAGAAACGCTAAGGTCTGATCGGGAGCCACCTCAGCTTTAGAAGCCTCAGGGGCCTTGGGGCCAGCAGTTGACCTAGGCGTACCTGGAGCCTTGGTGAGACCGGGTGCTCCTTCTGGTTCAGCGGTTGTTGGACCTGGGTCCATCTGTGAAAACAACCCTCGCATGGCTTCAGCTGGACCAGTGGGGGAGTTCTCACGCCTGTATCTGTATATCCTGATCCCTCAGAAAGCAGTGCTTGGCACCGGAATGTCTTCGGCAGCGCTTCATTCCCAAAAAACCTTAGAGCGCATTCGGCTGAGAGGAGCTGCTCCTGGAGCTCATCGTTTTGGGCACGCATTTCGTCCTCCGTCCTTGCAAACCTAAATGCTTCTTCTTTACGGAATATAGTGAGGTTTTGCGCGAACTCTTCCGAAAGGAATTCCTGATTTGTCCTAGCGAACTCGGCCATTTCATTTGTGTAGGTCACTTGGAGCCTATGGGCCTGGATTGCTTCCGCTATTGAGATGTTTGCCGCATGATCCCGCTGCATTGCCATGTTTTGTTCCTGCAAACTCTGGAGCTCTGCTACAAGATATTTGCCACGATCAGCGGCCCGGACTTCAATAGAGGAGATGTTTCTTTCAAGCTTAGCAACCACTTCTAGGTGCCTTCTTTCCGCTTGTTGCTCTAGGATGCCCAACCTCATCTCCGAAGCCTCATTCTGGTACCGTGTCGCAATGTGGTGTCTGCGTTCTGCCTCGTTCATTAGCTGACTCATCTCTTCTCTAACCTGGTGCACCGAATAGCCCGGATTGACAACCGTCAGACTTTGATACACATTCGCGTGATTATACTGATTAGCCTATTGGTACAGATCCCCACTGGAAGCTGCACCTCCTGGAATTGTGGTGCTTGCTGAACCTCTTTGGGGGGTAGTGCTGTGAGCACTCGCAACCACTAGACTCTCTTGGCCACTCGTTGCCGGCGGGCATAAAGGATCTTGGTGGTCCAATTGCTGGTAGCAATTCTGGAGATGCATCTGCTTTGGCATATCAGCGTCCGTTGTAGCTGTACTCACGCACTGATTGCAGTCGCTTGTACTTGGAGGCTTT